AACGGCATAATCAGTACTCTTGAAGATCAGAGATAACTAGACTCAGACTCAGGACTCGATAGTCTAGGCGCAAGGTGTGGAGCCAGTTATATCAGGGACTACCCTTCTATCCGCCTTGTCACTTCGGCCACGACGAGAGGCGAGGTGAAGAAGAAAGACGACACCCAAATACCTCGGCATTATGTATAAGTAGAAAACACAAATGAAAATTACAAGACGAGTCAAGATCAAGCTACATACACGGTCCGGTGCGCGCAGTCTGCAGTGCCCTGGTCGGCTCACCTTACCAAGAGTGGGGACCCCCGCAAACACGTCGCAAATCAACCATGACGCTCCTATCACGTACCCCCGGACATAGCACACACACACTACGCGACACGGGTTGTCGAATGATGACTTCGGAGAGACAAAAAAAATTTAACGCTGGTCTTGGCGACGACCATGTAGCACGAGACATAAGGAGAAAAGAACGAAAAAAAAAGGTTACAAAACACTACACACAACACAACAGACTACTTTAATCAAGAGAAAGACGCGCCCGATGTACGAATTACGATTACGATCGTTTATTTACCGCCTTAAGTGTTTTGCTCAAACCGTCAAAATTACACCACGCTATCACCTGAATCTCCTCTAGAGCTCCATTGAGTTCTTTGTAACCAAATGTCTCTCAGAGGGGCGTGGGGAGGGGCTCCTTATTTTCATCTAAAGTAACAGACAGAGAATCAGCACTTTGGAAACAGAGCTGAAACAGAGGGGATTATGGGTAATGCTGCAATGATCTGTTTGGTGTTTCAGCCAATCAGAGACAGGCTCTGGATATATCTGAGACCTGTGATATATTGATGAGAAACAGGATAACAGGGGAATTTAAATGCTCTTAATGTCTTTCATTTTTGTAAAGCACTTTGAATTGCGTTGTGTTGAAAGGTGCTGTATAAATAAACTTGCCTTGTCGTTGTGTTTCAGTCGGACTCTGAAGGTGAGGCGGGGGAGGCAGAGGAGGAACATGTGGAGCTCTTCACCACGCCAGCCACTAAGATGGGCGCCGCCACCTCGGACTTCGGATACAACTTGTTCCGCGCTCTGGCGACCCGCGAAGCCTCCACCAACATCTTCCTGTCGCCAATCAGCGTGTCCGCGGCGCTGACTCAGCTCTCCATGGGTGAACACACAAACACACAAACACACAAACACACAAACACACAACAAACTAAAACCAAACTCTGGCTCGGATCGCCACGGTGTGTTCGGGCCCATCGGCCAAACCGGTAGAAAGTAATTTCAAGTTTTAGTGTGCTGAAAAACACCCTCATCATCATCATAAGGTCAGACTGCGGACAGACTCCACGGTTTCTGATAATTACTGTACTTCACACCTCAAGCATTTCAGTCTGAGCTCGTCTTGGTTTGATAGCTCGTTTGCTGCCAAACCTGATAACCAGAGGCAATAATTAAAAAAAGCTTAATCTCTCACGCAACTGCTGGGAGATAAAGTCTTGCAACGGGAAGAGAACCGGCAAACGTGCAGGAACATGTATGGGTCAATGCAGCTAGTGTAGTTTTAAACATGCCTTATTTAACGAGAGCTGATAGAAATAAACAGTTTAATACAAACACAGGGGTTCCATGCAAAGTAAAACAAAACAAAGAAAAGTGAACATGTGCAGGTCAGAGAGGGCACTCAGACGGGAACAAAGATGGCAAACTGTTAAACAGACGGGCATATCTAAAGACAGGACTAATAAAGACTCAGCTGGGGGGAGGGGCAGGTAAAGACACGAGGGCAGCAAGGAGATCACGACAAGAATCAGGGCAATTACAAAGCGGCAAAAAAAACAAAGACCGGAAGTAAAATAAGACAAAGAGAAAACACATTTCAAAGTAACAAAGGAAACATACAAACTAAGATCATGACTTTTTGATTATTATTTTCTTAGTTTCACTGAGCCAGGTAAATGTCAGAAACGTGGAAGAATTCACTGGAATAAATTACAGAATTATTTCCGAATATGTCCCCTTATTGAAGATGACCCCTTCTGTCCCCAGGAGGGTCTGAGCGGGCTGAGCGCATGCTGTTCCGGGCCCTCCGGTACCACACCCTGCAGGACCCCCAGCTGCACGTCACCCTGAAGGACCTGCTGGCCTCCGTCCGGACCCCCGGGAAGGGCCTGAGCACCGCGGCCCGCCTCTACCTGTCCCGACGTGAGTCCATGTTGGGGGGCTGGATGTAAAACAAATCTACATGAATCTTTCTGTCAAAAAAACAAACTTTGATCTCACTAAAAGCAGCCTAGATCAGGGGTTCCCAACCGGGGGTACAGGGACCCCTAGGGGTTCTTAAAAAGATTAGGGGCCGTAATATATTTCCACACAAAAAACGTTTTTAAATAAATGGTCATAGTCCTGCTGTCTTGCACCCAGAACTATCAAAGCTTATGAAAGACAAGCCCGCTCAAGCGTCTCCTTAAAAGCTCTAGTCTTAAAAGATGTTGAAACTGCTGGAAGTGATTCTAAATATGATTTTTGTTCACTGAAAATTTGTGTAAATGTCAAGTTTAAATGCATTTGTATTAAAGGTGGGGTAGGTAAGAGAAACCGGCTCGAGATACACTTTTTGTTATATTCCATGGAATGCTCTTAACATCCCGACAAAAATCCATAAGAAAAAATGTCATCAGTGGAAGCCGTGGTACTGTAAAAAGCACGACCAATCATCTGAGCCGGCTAAAGTAACTGGATGGCCTACCTGCCTGTCAGCCTTCCATTGGTCATGTGCGCGTTCGTGTGTGTTGGAGGAGGGGCTCTGTGAGGAAGGGGCAGATTTTTTCCGTTTGTGTATTTTCAAATTCTAGCGCACTCGAGCTGGTTTCTCCATTCTTACCAACCCCACCTTTAATGGTGAGTTATACAAGTGATTTTCATCTAAGGAGCAGTTGGGTTTAATACGATAACAAAGGGTTTAACACAAGAACAAATGTAGGAGGTACCTCGAGAATGGGGACCAGCTCAAGGGGTCCACGAGACAAAAAAGGTTGGGAACCACTGGCCTAGATTATTATCTTTGAAGAAGCATGTGAATGTTGTTATGCTAGTTACAAGGTGGTGAGCTTCAGTTTTTGGGAAAGTGTTGGTACCTGTTTGCATTACCCTTCTGGTGCGCCATTGGAAACTGTTTGGCGATTGGCAGGTCCTTTCAATATAGACTAGGCAGCTGATTGGATGAACCATTTCAATCACAGGCTTACTGCAACCAATCAGATCAACGGTTGTGGGGGAGGCTTCAGTGCCATTCTTTGCTAACTGAACCGCACCTGTAGCTCCTCAAAGGACTCTGGTTACACAAACTCAACAGATGAAGCTGACAAGATTCATTTTTGCAATATTGTGGGAGTCCATCTGCTTTGTGAGCTGAAAACACCTGTGTTTCCAGATGTTTGGCCTTCAGGTCACACATTAATCTGAAGTTCTCTCTGCGTGAGAGCTGCTCCAGCTCAGAAATAGCAGATTCACTTTAGGTATTTTTGTTTTAAAAACAAACTACATTTTTCATCCAATAAAGGCAAACCTTTTTGGATCTTCTGAATGGAAACACTGTAATGCAGTAATACATAGGGTAACACATGAAAACAGTTATGTTACCTTTCTGCATTATGTGTCTAAAAACAACTCAAACTATGTTAAGTATTTTGATGAGTTCTGTACGTGACATTTTTAACTCTTTGTTCTTCAGGCATTCGTCCAAAGCAGGAGTTCTTCGGCCTGGTGGAGCAGCAGTACGGAGTTCGGCCTAAGACTCTGGCAGGAGGACCCAAAGACGTGTCTGAGATCAACACCTGGGTGTCTCAGGAGACCGGAGGGAAGGTGCTGCGCCTCCTGGCCAAGCCCCTCCCCCGAAACGCTGGAGTGCACACCGTCAGCGCCTCCTACTTCAAAGGTGAGTCCGATGAAGGGAGGCTGGTTCTCTGGTTCTCTGGTTCTCTGGTTCTCTGGTTCTCTGGTTCTCTGGTTCTCTGGTTCTCTGGTTCTCTGGTTCTCTGGTTCTCTGGTTCTCTGGTTCTGATGTTCAGGATCCAGCTGCTTTGGACAATCTTGCACTAATTCACATTTACATTTCCCAAAGATATTAAAGTGACTATTATTTTGTATATATTGATGGTTGCGCTTTTATTTATGTCTTAATGCACTGACAAATCGGAAACGTTGACTTTAATTAAATGTTTTATGTCAACAAATGTAACATAACTGTATTAGGTTAGTTGAAAGCAATAATGTTAGGTTTAGATAAAACATATTAGGTTCAACTTAATATTATTGCTTTCAACTAACCTAATACAGTTGTGTGAAATTTGTCGACGTAACACATTTGATTAAAGTCCTCGTTCCAGTTTTTTCAGTGTGTATGTGCATATGTATACATGTGTCTGTTGATTGTGTATATATAGAATATATATATTTGTATATTTTTATATATATTTGTATTTTTGCATTTGGGATTGTGGGAAACGGTATTTCAATCTCTCTGTCTGTACACACAAACTGAAAGATTGACAATAAAGTTGGCTGACTATGAACTCGTGTGTGCTGTGAGCAGGGAAGTGGGTGACCCGCTTCGGTCAGAGTGGAGTGATGGAGAACTTCCAAGTGGACGGGGCGGCTCCTGTCCGCGTTCCCATGATGCAACAGGATAACTACCCCGTGAAGATTGGAGCCGACTCGGACCTGAACTGCACGGTGAGGATAATTTATTATCTTAAAGCACAATGAGATGCGGTTGTAGCTGAGTCATGCTGCACTCGATGAAAATAATCAAATACAACATCACAAAAGCAGTAGTACATTCCTGAAGGTACTTTGTTCTTTGTTCATTTTCACACTTTGTGGGGCTCCAGAAATACAGCCAAAATGACATTCACAAATATTTTGATCACTATTGTGAGTATTCACATAATTATAATAATTTCTGATATTACTTAATAATACAACACATGACTGCATAATACGTGATAATGTATGAGTTGATTTACTTTGATCTACTGTACTGTGTAAACACCACAACAATATTACAAAAAATATACTTAAGCAATAGCTCACGACAGGCCGTGGTATATGCTCATTATATCACAGCTAAGGGGCGTGGTTCGGCCCGATCTTGCTTTCTTGTTCCAGTATGAAAAGCTTTTCAACCTGATGGTATACTGTTTTTCTCAGACGCGGAGGGATACTGACTTGTTGTGAAAAGTAACTTACAATTATACCCGTGGTATACGCTCAGTATATCACATCACAAGTCAAATCGAGCAATCTGATTGGTTCTCAGCCGTGATATACTGAGCGTATACCACGGGTAGAATTGTAAGTTACTTTGTAAGTCAGTATCCCTCCGCGTCTGAAAAAAACAGTATACCGTTGGGCTGAAAAGCTGGAACAAGAAAGCAGCGGAGAAGTAACGGGGCAGAAACCCTCCTTTTTACGCAGCGGTCCAGACATAGACATCAAACGGCAAAACATATTCAGTGTGCAGTTCCTTTGGCATTAGGGCAGGGATATCTAGATACTTTTGAAGGTTTAACATAATGAATTGTGCTACTTTTAAAGCAAGCAACGATGTTTTCAAATCTGTAATCAAAGAGGTCCACAAAAACGCTATCGACCAATCAGATTGCTTGATTTGACTTGTCAGTTTTATAAATATATTTAAATTTCTTCCGTTACGAAACAAACTTACAAAGCATAAAATGGAAACATTTAAGATTAACTTGGACCTCCGGGGGGGTCTTACTATGGAGGAGTGGATTGAGCAGTGCCTATCTCCAGAAAAAAAAGCACCTAAACGAC